AGTGCTTGTGCTGTGTCTGTGTCAGTGCAGTTCTGGTGAAGCAAAGCCACTTGCAACAAGCAAGAGTTGAACTGGGAACTGAGCAGAGCTCAGTTTGCCTGTCACAGTGGTGCTGAGTGTGGCAGTTGATGTACATGTCACTGGAACCAGCATCCAGCTGTTGGGGGTTCCCTGCATGGAGGTCATAGTGTACCAGATGTGCACATGTGGGACCAAAATGGAATGAAGGAATTAAAATTTTTATCCTGCCAGACTTCAAGTAAGCTATTGCCATTCTCTTGTACTCTCTAATTGGAGCATAATTGACAGACCAGATGAAATGTCAGTTTGGCATCTTGATGCCTGCATCAAGATCAGTAACATGCTAGGAAAAAAGTCTGGTCTCCCTCCATTCCTCATCCAGGGTACCAAAATGTGGTGTTTGCAATGCCTCTGGCTGGAATGGACAGGGAAGAGGAGTAACCTCCCTGGGGCAGGTTACACAGTGTCTATCCTGGGGGTTATCTCTGAAGCAAACAAGGGCCCTTCTGGAAGCCTGTTGGAAGGGAATGATGTGCTGTTAGAAAACCTACATGTGGTAGCAGAGTGGGTGATGGTGAGTGGGGCAAAAAGTTGTTTGTTACTAAATTACTGTGTGTTCTGTTTTGGGGAGCAATCCTGTACTAATGCAAGCATTCCCCACAATTACAGCTGGTCATTCTGGGACAGAAAAGCCTAAAGAAAAGAGATGTAAGCAGAACCCATCAGGTGAGCTGAGCTTGTCTCCGTGTTTCAGGCCCTTGTACTCATTAGTCCTGTTGCACCTGGGGAGCAGCAGTGAGTGAGGAGCCGTTGGGGCTGGTCAGAGATGTCAGGCAGCCCAGCCAGGCTGGCAGACACCACACAAAGTAGTTCCCAGCCTGGCTGTGCCCTTACCTCTCAGCAGGCCTGCTCCTCCTGTCTTGTCTTCTGTGGGCACTACAAGTGGTTTGAAAGGCTTCAAAGCCTTTAAGTGCACGTTTGAATACCATTTGGGTTCCTCACTTGTCTGGGGCCCTTTGAAAGCAGCAGCCTGAGATTGGACCTTTTGTATTCCTGTCAAGCTCTGTTTAACTTACAGAGGAAGGACAGAATTATCTTCTTCCTATCACACAGCTCATCCCTAAAGCCAAGAAAGATGCATTGTAAAACCTTCTGGCTACAAACCTCCTCTTGCTAAGCTTTGCAGGATGAACCTGGAGCATGGGAGGGGTGCAGCGACCACTGACAAGAAGCACATACAAGGAGTGGCTGTATGGAGTAGTGCAAGACTTGGGTTCTGTCTGAACTACTAAATACTGACCCACTGGTGCTGGGACACATCTCCCTGACTCTCCCTGCCATCTCCTTGTGCCATCTCACATCACACTCATCCTTCTCAATCTGTTTCTATCCAAACTGCAGCATTTAAAACACATGAGTAAAAGCTCATGGTAAAAAAAAAAAACAAACCCAGAAATCCTTACAAACTTAAGTAGTGATTTCATGTGGTTTGCTTGTCTTATTTCCTTGCAATGAGCATTTCTGTCTGCACCAGGGGTAGTGTCAGTTTATTTTAGTGACCCAGTCCAGAGCCTGGCAGGCTGCAGGGGAGTAGCAAAGTGCTCACTTGCACTTTGGTTTGAGCCAGCACACCTGAGGAACTCAAGGGAGCTGCTCAGGACTGCTTTGAGCGGGCTTGGGCTCTGGTTGGAAGCAGTTCCTCTCTGCATTAAGCAGCTGACACACTCATCAAAGACATGAGGTTGTATAAACTTCTCTTTTCCCCTTCCTTGATCTATCCTGCACCCTCTACTTCTCCAACCCTGTTTTCCCCTTTGTCTCCATTTTTGTCCTGCTTCCTATGTGTCCCATTGAGTGCTCTTTTCCAGCTCTTGCTCCAAGCCATTTCTCCTATTCCTTCACATTCTCAGGAGTCAGTTCCAATGCTCTCACTGACAGCAGCCCTGGTGAGCATCACCAGTCACACTGTGAGTGGTGATCGGAGAAGCTCTACAGGCACCTGCACGCTCGGGTGTCCAAGCAGAGCTCTCAGGAACTGCCTTTTGGAAGAGCTGGCATGTCCTTACCAACCCATTTTCCTTCTTTCATGGCTGGTAGGTGGGGCAGATCCTGTGTGTCTCAGTGTCATGTGTGGGACATCATTCTTGGGTGATTCTGGCACTGTTGGCTTGGCCTCCCTTGAGCTCCAGCCAACAGATTTCACCCAGGCAGGGAAGCAGCTGGTGCTAATGTGGTGGAGAGTGACAGAAGGACAGACACTCCTGTCCTCCCACTCCCATCTGCTGCTTGTCATCAAACTGCTGCTGCTGTAAAGAGCAGTCAGCAGGTTTGGGAGGTAAATGTAGGTCCCAGCTGAGCAGCCTGAGAGCTGTGTTGGCCTTGTTAAATGCTTGATTGCACTTGCTCTCTGTGGCTGTGAGTTCTGCATCTCAGGCTTGGATACAGAGCTATCACAGAGCAGCAGGAGCTTTTAGGCCACCCAGCCAGGGACATTCTGC